AACGAGTTTGTGAAAAATTTCGAAGACAAAGAACGAGACTTGAGAATCGATCTACTCATTATTCTCCCGAGCCTGTGTTATTGATTGTTTATTCATTCATCATTCTCTTGGGAGTATTTTGGTTCATTGTCTTGATAGTCTTTTTTGATACTCATTCGATATAGACTGCTTTTTTATATGTTTTGGTTCTTTCACTAGTTTTGTTTGGTTTGTATGAAAAACTTTGTGATTGGTTTGTTCTAGTGTAATTTTGGCATGTTGCCTTAATCTACAAGTGATTTTCAGTTGTAGACTAAATCCTTAATCTTTGGTGTTTATTTATTTCTATTGCACATTTAAATTTTTTATCTCTGTGTGAAAGTCTAGAATTCTCGGTTCCTAAAATTCTAACTATATAGCTCTTGGTTCGATGATCAATCTGATTTTGAGATTCTAACAATATAGCTCTTTGTTCGATGATCCGTCCAATTTTGAGATCCTTGTTATTCAACTCTCTCTCTCTCTCTCTCTCTCTCTCTCTGTGTGTGTGTGTTATGTAATTGTCGTCTTCCAAGTACACTTTATAGTACCGTGTCTTAGATGGAAACCAATGCATGCCCATAAATAATGAAGTATCTTCAGTCTTTTCGAATTATTGGTGAACTTTGAATAACACGGAGCCAATGAACTTAGCCATGGCTTTTGCAACTTCCCCTGATTTAACTACCACTAATGTTACAACCTTAATTTGTCCCATTATGAATAGAATTAAACATCAGATAAATCAAAAGAAAACAATAATAATAAAGTTGTGAGTTTACCTTTGAGTGGATGAGAATAGATCAATCATGAAAAATGCCCACATATATATCCCTCACTTCAGTGTTCTAGTGAACAAAACTAATTACACAAAGATATGCAGACAAACAAATCTTGAACTACATCATTTCCTTCTTAATTTTCAAGAAAAGCAAATAAAGTTGTGCCTTTGTCTTTTCCTTTTGTGTTTTCCTTTTTTATATATTTTTTTTATTTTTTACAAAATAAAACACATTGTTGATGGTCACCTGCATTTATTCTCAATTATTATAGTTTCTCATCTTAATAAATTAGAAAATGGGCTTTTTAACATAAACATAATTGTACCTTCTATTTTTTATATCTTAAATTAACAAGTGATGAACTTCTTTAATGACAATTATTGCGGAGACGGGTGCGGTTCCACGTACATGTAGCAGCGCACCATAAGAGAGTCAGTGTAAAATAAATGCATCATACTGAGTTCCATCTCAAATAATTAGTAGTAGAACGAGTAGGCCACTAGACTTATATCTATGTTTAATTTTTTCTATATAAACGAAACGAAACAATTCACAAGGGATATTCGACTGTATAATGCTTATCCAAAATGCAAAAGCCACTTTACATTGTTAAGCATGGGAATTGGAAAAATGCAGTACTTGTAGAATGATATGAAATAACTCACAAGTGATATTCGACCGTATAATACTTATCCAAAAACGCAAAAAGCCACTTTACATTGTTAAGCATGAGAAGTTGCAGTGTAGAAAGATAAATTTAGATGGTGTCTCATCATAAGATAGCAGCATTTAAGGACCCTTCAAACATCACCATCCCAATCTAGTTGTCGGCCACTTTGTTCCGTATTCCTAATGAAAGAAAAAGCATACTCCTAATCCTAATTAAAGAAGATGTGTATTAGTATATATTATTTGCTTACATTAAAGCCTAAACTACTATCTAGATTTGACTAAACCGCAAAAATAAGAAGCACCTCATGATTGAATTATTGAAATTGGTCTTATTGAAATGTCACTTGTAAGTCGTTGGACATTAATTTTATAAGATAAATGAGTTCAGTTCACAAACTTCGTAGAGTTAAAACAATGAGCCTAGTTAAGGTAATTCTTCAACAGATTACATAAAAATTTGTATTTCTCAACCCTAACGAGCGTTAACGAGTGGCACTCGGCTCATTTACTGCCACGAGTTTGACCTCGACTCGAATATTAATGATTCTAACTGAACCCAAAAGCAAATCGATTTGTTATTATAACTCTACTCACAATGCTCGAAAAGCAAGCACACTTAATACGAGTAAAAATCAGTAAAACTTAACTAACTAATCCATAATATTTGTAATTATGTATTCCTATGTTCCCTCTCTCCTTTTATTATTATTCTTTATTCTAAAATAATCATTCCAAAATAATCAAATTGCAAATATGAAAATAATATACAAATTCATGATGAGACATGCAAACGTACATATATAGCTTGTAGCATATTCATGAGCCATCCCAATTATGTCTTTCTTAAAAGACCAATTGTGAATTGTGATGCAAGTATGTCAAAATATTCCAAGTATTATATTATTATACATGGCTTTGATATAATTAATTATATTCCTTTAATTTGTAGCTTCCTAGACTTCAATTCCATAAAAC